CATTTACCGCATCAATTCTTGTTATATGAAAACCTGTCTGTACCATGAATCATTTCTCAGCCCATAAGATGATTGTCGTAACGCAACCTTCGTAACTTGCGCCAGTTGATCGCTTTGTACATTCCAACTTTAAGAAAACAATGAATCTTGTGAAATGTTTCAGTAACATTATACCGTTTTCAGAAAAAAATATGTTGCTAATCTTAACATTTTGATCTTGCCTGTAAATTGGCATGTCTCTTTTAACATGTTTGTTATTTGAGAATAAATTATTATTATTATTATTATTAATGGTCGTAAGTGCTCTGCTGCGTGAGGAAAAAAACGTCATCTACGTTAGCTGATGCGGTTGGCAGGTCATCATTATAGACGTGAACAAAATCGAAGTCCCGTACAACCGTACTATCGATAAACCTTTGGAAAGTTTGAGCAGCATTCCGTAATCCAAATGTCATTCGTGGGAACTCGAACAGACTAAAATGAGCCATGATAGCAATTTTCTCGATATCTTCGAGAGCGACTGGGATCTGATGATATGCTCGTACCAGATCAATCTTAGAATCAATAGTCGTGCCCTTAAGAGATGCCGTGATGTCGTGTATGTGGACGATGGGGTAGCTATCGAAACGTGTCACTATATTTAATGCTCAGTAGTCGCCACATGGTCACCAACTTATCCCATCCTTATTGCGAAACATGTGGATTGGTGAGGCCCAGGGACTGTGGGAAGGACGAATAATACATGTAGCTGGTAAAATGTCAAACTCACGTTTAGCGAAGTATAATTTGTCCGGTGCCATTCAGCCAGGTCATTCCGTGACTGGTGGTGTGCGTGTGACGATGTGGTGTACCACATGATGAGTCACCGATGGATTCTCCACTAGTGGTTCAGTTAGCTGGGTAAATTTTTCGAATAAAGCGTGGAAAATGTCATCATGCGAATGAAATACACCTTTAATTCGGTACGCACCTGTTTTAGCTCGAAAACCCATAAGTTTGCTGTTTGACGAAGTATCGATTAGCTGCGGCCTACGTAAATCAACTGGCCTTTCAAAGTGCTGTAGGAAATCGATACCTAGTATAGCTGTAGGAACATCGGAAGTGATGAACGTCCACAGATACTGTCATCGGTTGCTCAGGTTAGCTGTCGTGTACCATAGGTAGGAATGAGACATTCGCAGCGCGCAGCCGAAGCATCACAGGTTGAGACTTGTTACTACCAAGTGGTACGACAGAAACTTGGTCACCTGTGTCAACGAGGTACTAAGAGTTAGTGCGGATAATAATAATAATAATAATAATTTATTCTCAAATAACAAACATGTTAAAAGAGACATGCCAATTTACAGGCAAGATCAAAATGTTAAGATTAGCAACATATTTTTTTCTGAAAACGGTATAATGTTACTGAAACATTTCACAAGATTCATTGTTTTCTTAAAGTTGGAATGTACAAAGCGATCAACTGGCGCAAGTTACGAAGGTTGCGTTACGACAATCATCTTATGGGCTGAGAAATGATTCATGGTACAGACAGGTTTTCATATAACAAGAATTGATGCGGTAAATGTACAAAAGTCTGGTTGATATTCGTCAGATAATGATTTCACATGTTCTTGGCTAGGGTAACCAAGTCTACTGCAAATATCCAGACTAATATATGTGGATTGGAATAAGGTTCTGAAAAAAGGAATAAAGAAAACGGGACGAGGAGCAGAACAGAAAATATTCATGTTCAAAGCCGAACAACGGCTTCGCACATACGTTTATGGATAAAAAAGGTATGTTTACCCAAACATTTTTAATATCAGAACACTTTACACCTGCGCTTATGTAGGTTAATGAAGACACTTCAGTAGTGAGATAACTGATGAGAAGTTAGTCGAAAGAATCGAGGAAATTCAGAAGAACCAATTTGTCAGTAATAAAGTTGATTTACAAAATATAATAAAGAGGATCAGTGATATAATTTTTTTTGTTTTATTTATTCTTTTTATTTTTAACTCTGCGGCTCAAGAAGTTATGAATGAGCTCTTTTTTAGTATAGTTGTCCAGACCAGCTTGTAATAGGATTTCTCGGTAGGAAGTAAAAACCAGTGCAAGGTTACAGACATGGGATGTAGGCGAGGTTAACTAGGAAAAGTAACATCAATATCACTGATTTGTTACATCCTGCTATATCGTAAGGAGCCGTAAGCAAACAAAATGTTCTGCCACACAGACATGGGTAGATTGAGGTTATCGCCCCATATGCACATGAAATAGGCGGCCAACCTGATGTGAGGGTTGACGAGTACAGCCGCAGTTACTCGTCGGCCTTGAAGTTTCCCGCCTTGTATGGGCAGGGGGCTCGACAATGACGGGCGCCAGACCTAAAAGTCTGGTGGAACCAGTACCAACTACCGCTGTCTTCAGAAGCAGCCTTTTGGCGTGGCTTGAAAGATGCCCGCTGTGGGGGAGTATTGCAGCCTTTTTAGATCGCAAACAACATACTCATGAGAGAGGTCCTACTGCATGCCCCATGGCCACGGAAGTGATGGAGGCTGACAGTAGATGATCCCCGGCAAACAGTGAGCGATATCATCCAGAATGCTGTCGTAGACAATGTACCTCAGTCACACCACACGCGCAGGACTAGAAGAACATGGGTTAGGCGCGGCACTGAACGCTTGCTACAGGCGAAGAGGAGAGCCTGGCACAAGTGGAAGGTCTCCTTGAAGGATTCCGATCGCAGTTCTTACTTGGCATTGAGAAACAGATACAATACCAAACTTCGAAGTGACAGGAGACAATTCCAGATGAAGCTAGCCGCCAAAATAGAGGCAAACCCGAAAAATCTGTTTAGGTTTATGTCGAAAAAACCCTATTAACCAAGGGTTGTGTTCTCTAGAAGGACTAAACAGGGAAGACCTCACCAACCTAAAGAAGGATAAGATCTTCAACACCGATTTTTCTGATTAATTAAACCAGACGCCTACATGTTCAGACTACTACTCCAACCCATTGCAAGCTGAGGGATTAGGGAACATCCGTATCATACCTGACTCTGGACTAAGTAAACTAAAATCTTTAAGCCCATGTAAGCCAACAAGTTGTGACAAAGTCCGCCCTACAGTCTTGAAACAGTGTGCTGAAGTCCTCTGTTCACCGTTATGCAACCTGTTCAGGCATTCACTGGAGTCACACCAATTCCCAGTTGAATGGAAGCAAGCTTCTCTCTCTCCAATCTTCAAAGGAAGAAATAGATAGGACCCAGCCTGTTATACACCAGTCGCACTACTACTGACGATGTTATCAAAGGTTATGGAAGGGCTGGTGGACGAACAAATGAGGGAGTACATGGATGAGAATAAAATACTCCATGAAGCTCAACACGAGTATCGGAAAAGCAGGTCGTGTGCACCTAATCTTCTCATCGCATCGGACAGTCGGACACCCTGCTTGGACCGTAAAATACCAGTGCACGTAATATTTCTCGACTTTGCAAAGGCCTTTGACACAGTACCCAACGCACGCCTAATCGAAAAGGTTGTGGAAATGGGCTTCACTCACTCCTATCTTGGCTCACAAACTACCTTGAGAATAGAAAGTTTCGCACCAAGGTAAACAGAGTGCACGCATCTACGCAGACGATGCGAAGGTCTGGAGGTCCATCAGAAGCGAAGAGGATTCGACTGAGCTTCAAAAGGACCTTACATCTATTGAGAAATGGGCAGTGAAAAATGGTTTAAAACTCAGTCAACCGAAGTGTCACGTCATGCATTTCCTGACTCATATGACGCAAACGATCTATACCCTCAATATAGATCCGCTCCCTAATGTCTACTCAGAGCGCGATCTCGGTTTAATAACCACAGAAAGCCTCCACACTAGTTCAAACTATGTAGGGGATGCAGCCAAGGCAAATGCGACTCTTCATTTTATGCGAACACAGCTTGGTGCTATCACCCCGGAATTATTTTTAACCCTGTCTAAGACGTACGCGCACACACTTGGAAGTTCACAACGTCATCGCAACCCCTCTGCTTAAAAGAGACATAAATCTCTTGGATTGAGTGCAGAGACGAGCAACCGAATGGGTGTTAGGGTTGAAAAATAAACCGATAGACTCATGCTCTTGTGATTATTTCCACTAAGCTACAGGAGAATCAGAGGCGATCTGATTATGGCGTACACCATATTAAACACGCCAAACCATCCCAATGTGAGCATCTTGCCGATGCACCACCACCACTCCAATCGAGGCAATGCTCGAAAGATTGCACACCAAAGAGCGTATACTAAGATTCGTGCACACATTTTCTCATTGCGAGTCGTCGCAAATTGGAATACCCTCCCAGCTGAGGTGGCCACAGCCCCCTCAGTATACTGCTTTAAGAAGAGACTTGATAATCACGTACTCACATATGGATTATCATCTCCCTCTTGGACAAGCAGTTCATGATGCACATCTTGAGACCTGCTAGTTGTTATCATTACCATCTCCTCAGATCACTCAACTAATCCATCTCGCTTGTTATCTCTGTTTCCTATCCCTTGCTTACACTACGGTCCTCCCTCACAATTTTCACTACCAATTAACAAACTAAATTGATCTATATATTACTCAGTTCTGAAATTTTATTCATATTAGCATTAGAATTTTATCCTTATTACCCTTATTACTCTTCACATTGCAACTAACTTATCTCCGGTCTGGTAATGCGATGGCCACTAGTATCCAGAAACCCCACTGCCCTGAAACAAACGTTTTCATTCAAATCCCGAGACATACAAACTCACAACCAACAACCAACTGACTAGAATTAAACAGTCGAGTGACTTGACCTCCATCCATTGGACATTACCGAGCACCGTGAACCGTACTGAAAGAACAAGAGTCGAGCGTGAAGAAATCAAATTGGTTTACACTAGCTCGTGAAAAATATATTGCATATTGGATATTGAACTATCACTGGGACTTCGTTTATTTCGTGGACAAATGTAACAAGCTTATGTTCCCCACACGGAAGACAGTGTAGCAACACACACTTTTACACTCGTTTAAGCAATATTAGAACTCTAACCAACTTTTCATCGTTTGACAAAGTACTAGCTGTGTCGTAAAAAGCCTAAGCGCATTTTTCCCTCAAGGTCATTCGTGTGATAAGGAGGTAATTTTAACCAAACTTTTGTAAGGCAGAAATAAATATGAAAAGCGTACTTAGTTGATAATCCGCGTGTCGAGAAGTATGTGATCTAAGTTGACTAGTTGTTGTGACGGATGTGTAGCATGACGTTTCCAATGGTGGTCTGGCGCGGGTGCGTGCCCGAGCACCGTCTAGCGTGTTCAATAGAACTAGTATGGTCAGTATCACTGTCGAGCACTCACATAACTATTTATTTTGATATTTATTAACCGCTATGACCTCGGGTAACAAGTCATGAGAGTTGGTGACGCCGTTAGGAGACCTGTTTGCCACATTTTATTGGTTCTCCGTTTTCGAACGCTTTTGCTATGTTGTCTGAGTTGTCCTGACCTAGTTGAAATAGAGAAGCTATACTTCGTCCAAAATATTTACTTAATATTCTGCACATGAAAATCAGGTCATTCATTAATATATTGTGAGGTAGAGTAGATGTCTGATTTCTCATACCACTGTATACCAAACCTTATAATCCCAAAATAGCACAGTTAGCTATATCTATCTATCTCTATCTCTATCTATCTATCTATCTCTAAGGTTATTTCACTAGATTCTACTTCTTGAACAATATTCTCAAACCGCATTCTCTCCGATTACTGCTAATACTTCTAATTCCTCTACTATTATGGGATTTTAACTGACAATTGCGTCTCTGTGCTAATGTTGTATGACAACTTGAACTAATGTACGTTCGTACATACGAAGTTCTACGTTGTAACTGACTGACTGACTGACTGAATTCCCAAGCTGATATTCACCTATTCCGTTACTAAACTATTATCTTAGCAGTAGCATCTTTTTATTTGTGTCATCATATAGCATATTCAAAAATAATACGAAATCTATTTTATAACTAATGATACCATTTTCAACATCCTACAAATACTATGCCTTCTGTAAAACCAAATGAATCCTTTTAAAAGTAGCGCTTTCCTTGTTTTGACTGCGAGGATTTCACACCTAGAATCTTACTTGATGACTGTCCATGGTTCACCTATAATTTTGAAATTATTATGTGCTCTCAGTCAGTCAGCGTGCTGTTACGGGTATGAGGGCGGTTGTCACTTCCTGGCTGCCCACACCGTGGAAGGTTGTCTCTTGAGGAACCTGAAAAGGAAGATGGATTAGTGTTGGTGCGTGACCGCAGAGCCCAAGGGACAACTGCTTGAGGCCGGTCACGCACGGCCTTTTTATGAAATGTTTTCTGAGGATTAGCTCCGTTCTTAAAGACCCTTAGTGGGCACTCTTACCCAAGGAGACGGAAATCCGTGAGGTAGGGGAGGTGTGACATTCTTAGGGTCTACCTTTTCTAACCCTTCCTTCCTTGTGAGAAGGCAGCATCGCTGCAGATGCTGGTTGTTCGAGGGAAACACCTTACTGCTGTCACACCCCTCTGCAGTCAGCAGTACGACTTCGCCCTCAGACCTTGGGTAGCTGCTTTTAGTCTCATCGTTCTCCAATCGACCTGCCTGGCATGGTAGAACCTTCAGAAACATATGTTCCAGCCAGTATAGCTCGGCTGGGTCATCACGATAGGCAAGCCCGACCACCACATCAAGGTAGCAGCTACGGTCGGGATTATGTGCTCTAAGACTTTGTCATTGACCTATTGTCCTTTCTATCATGTTATTTTGATTATCAGCATGTAATTTTATTTTTATACCATTCTAACAAAACAGCATTACAGGTTTCATATCCACTTTGTATTCATATACTGAACACGATACATTTTAGCAAAAGTTCCTCAGTGTCTATTGATAGATTACTTTATTCATTTTTATGTAATATATCTCTGAGTTTATTAATAAATTTTAATTATACAGGTACAGAAGACAAGACTATGCAATCGTTAAAAAGAGTAAGATCATTTATAATTGTAACTTTGAATTTTTAATTTCAGAGTACTCTGTTAACTGGATTGCCAGTTTCAAATAATCCTCATATTGTAAATCACTTTTATGAATTTAATAAATCTCCTAATCTTAGATTCTGACATCACTTTACAGGCGCATACTCAAAGTGCTTGCTCTTATGCCTGAGGAATCTAGTTATCGTAGGCATACAAACGAACTAGTACAGTCCAGATTAAATGCTGTACAAAAGGTGAGTTATTTTTTTGAATGTTAATATTTTCTTCTCTCTCTATATAAAAGATTCCAGATATTCGCACACTGGAGTCTACTATTGATTGTGGGCAAATTGAAGAAGTCATCGTACAGGTAGGTGTGCATGGTTTTTATACTTTATTTCTTTCACACGTAATAATTATAATTTCTCCTGACTAGATCTGGTGAAGACGCTGACAAAATGCAGAGTCTTCTGACTACCCTAAGCAACAATGCAAGCATGTTCGGGATGCGGTTTCCCCCCTCGAAATGCAAAATGTTGCTTCAAGATTGGCTTGCGTCGGCACCTGAACTAGTGATAGGGAGTGAAGTAGTCGAACGTGTAGACCGCTTCACTTATCTTGGGAGTCTCATCAGTTCCGATGGCCTGGTGACTGACGAAATCTCAGCACGGGTACAGAAGGCTCGATTGGCTTTTGCCAACCTGCGTCACTTATGGCGTAGGCGAGATATCCGTTTCCTGACTAAAGGACGAGTGTACTGTGCAGTAGTTCGCTCCGTCTTACTTTATGGCTGTGAAACATGACCAGTGAGAGTAGAAGATATTCGTCGGTTATTGGTTTTCGATCATAGGTGTCTTCGAAGCATTGCTCGTATATCCTGGGACACAAGATTGAGCAACACTGTTATTAGGAATCGGGTGCTAGGTAACAATGGCAGACCAATAGATGAAGTAATGAAACTTCATCAGTTGAGGTGGTTGGAACATGTGTTGCGTACGCTTAACCACCGACTGCCTCGACGAGCTATGTTTTGTGATGTAGGAGTAAGTTGGAAGAAAGCCAGGGGCGGCCAGACCAAAACATGGCAGAAATCCATGAAGTCACTGATAAGTGGACTGAGTCATGTTGGTAGATGTAGACTACCTGGTTGTTGTCCGCGAGATGATAATAATCGATGGTTAGATACCTTGAATGACATGGCTCAAAATCGTTCGCAATGGCGTCGGTGCATTTATGCTTTGTGTTCTCTCAAATCCTAATCTTCTGGGTTCTTCAACAACTCTAGTTTTGACTTTCTACACTTTTCTCACTGAATCATACTTCTTGAATAATATCTTCTAATCCTAACCTCTCCGATTACTTCTAATACCTTTACTACCTCTTCTACCATTGGATTTGAATTGACAATTACATCTCTGTGCTGATAATAAGGTATGGCTACATGAAGTGATGTACTTACGTACGAAGTTCTACGTTGCAACTGTTTGACTGACTGACCTGACCAGATCGTGTATTCTGCCTTTATGTGGTAGTGATACTAACGAATTCATGCGGCCTCCAGTAACTGGCTATCTTAAAACATTTGGATTAGGAAATTGAATCAGATCCCTAACTCTGAGTGATGCTTAAAAGACTGTATCTAAAGTTAGGTAGAGAAAGATTCCATCATGCTTAAACCCATTATATTTTTACTGATAATAGTCCGATTTTAGCTGTCGGATTGACTAAAATATTTAGCTAAACTTAGGGATGTATGTAAATCTATCTAGATGGCGTTAGTCCTTAACCATCTTGGTTGATAAGAAAGAAAAATAGTTCCCTTATGAAAGAGACAGAGGAATCGGTTTGACTGTTATAATGTTTGGTATATTGGCTTTAATAGCCGTCTGACATTTAGCCCGGCTTCGTTAAAATCGAACCCAAGAAAACTAGGTTAGTTGCAAACATAACTTTGAACGTGTAGACTAACGATTCACCCTGGAATATAGATAAACCTACCAATTTTGGGCTAGTGTAGCGTTCTACGTTGTAACTGACTGACTAGTGTAGCGTTCGACTATGTTGACAGGGAGACCCTGTGAGTGTCTTTCACAGAAACATATGCTAAAGAAGTAAACCGACCTTGTAAAGTATCTTTCGACGAACACTACTTCTCGAGTTAGAGCCGATAAGAAAGTGTTATCAGATTTGTCAGTCTCGACTGGCGTTCATCGTTTTTCAACTTCCGCCATTATTATTAACCGCTCTTGTCGTCTAACCTTAAGATTAATTTGTTCACTTAGAATATACAGATAACACGGTCATGTTTGGTGAAGTCAATCACTTCACTTAGAGATGGTATGACAACAAATAAACGAAATTTAGTGTACGTGAATGAAATAATGGTATTAATATTACGGAAAACACCTCAGTTAAGGAGATTACAATCACAAAGAATCCTCTCACTAAAAGAAGTCCGTCTTACGTATGTGAAGAAAATAAAATAAAACTACAACAGGATCGCTACTGTTCTTGATTCTAAGCCATATCTACTAGGATCCTGTGTGCGCGTTTCTGAGACGCAGCATACATCGATGGCACGAGATTCTAAAGTCCTAGCTAATGATGCCTGTTGCCCTATTTGACACTAAGTCCGTACATTAAAAGCCCCAACATGTTGTAGAGAACGGGGTTTCAGGAGACCAGGAGTAACGTTTCGTGAGCTCGCATCGTTTGCATTAGCTGTGCAGTGTGATAAAGGAATGTGAGAAGAGTTAATCGTGGAGATAAGAGAGGTGTGTGTTGGTGTAGGAAGGATTTGATTTCGACCAATTCCCTCTCGTGTGCTGTTACGGGTATGAGGGCGGTTGTCACTTCCCGACTGTCCACGCCGTGGAAGGTTGTTTCTAGAGGAACCTGGAAAGGAAGGTATATTAGTGTTGGTCTTGGAGACCTGGGTGCGTGACCGCAGAGCCCAAGGGATAATTGCTTGAGGCCGGTCATGCACGGCCTTTTCGTTAAAGGTTTTTTGAGGATTAGCTCCGCTCTTAAAGGCCCTTAGTGGGCACCCTTACCGCCGGAGACGGAAATCCGTGAGGTAGGGTGAGGTGTGACATTTTTAAGGTCGACCTTTTCTAACCCTTCCTTCCTTGTGAGAAGGCAGCATCGCTGCAGATGCTGGTTGTCCGAGGGAAACAGTTTACTGCTGTCACACCCCTCTGTCGTGCCTCCACATAAACTTGAGTTCGCTCATATTTAATTTGATTACGCCTTTCGATTAACTTATGTAACCACGCTATTTGTATAACAACAACCCATATGTACCATTGGTATTTATATATATTTACATATATTTAATTTTTAGTCTTATGATTTATTTTCCTCAGTGAGATATTAGTGGGCATCAAGACAATTCAAATAACGTCTGATTACTTTGTGCCTTAGTCTCTGAATCATATCATCACTTAGTAGTAGTAGTAGTAGTAGTATTTGTATTGACAATACTACTGCGACTACAATACTACGACTACTTCACTCCCTATCACTAGTTCAGGTGTCGACGCAAGCCAATCTTGAAGCAACATTTTGCATTTCGAGGTGGAAAACCGCATCCCGAATATGCTTGCATTGTTGCTCAGGGTCGTCAGAAGACTCTGCATTTTGTCAGCGTCTTCACCGAATAGAGCTATGACATCGGCATATTCTAGGTCAGTAAGCGATTTGCCTGGTAGGTCTACTCCTGGAAATTCAGATAATGCAAGTGTCGAACTTAAAAGCATGTCTATGATAAAATTAAACAATGATGGAGAAAGTAGCCACCTGGTAGAAGGTCCACCGCTGAAAAATCTGACGAGCTTAATGTTAACTCTAAGCGGATGTCTACGACAAAGTTAAACAAGAATGGAGAGAGTGGACAACCCTGACAGACACCAGTTGATGTAGAGAATTCAGATGACAGCTCGCCATAAGCTCTCACTCGACCAGTGGTGTTCGAATAAAGAGCTTGTATAAGGTTAATATACTTCTTTGGTACACCTTTCAATGACAGACACTGCCACAGAACCTCACGATCTACAGAGTCAAATGCCACTTTTAGGTCCAGGAACACAACTATTTTCGGATGTCTAAATGTGTGTCTGTGTTCCAGGTCCTGTCTGAGTGTGAAGAAGTGGTCTATACAACTACGTGCAGGTCTGAAACCAACCTGATTTTCTTGAGTCTGCTCTTCACGAGCTCTAATTAGGCGTCTAAGTATAATTGAGGCTAACAATTTATGAACTATCTCATAAAATTAATGCCTGTTTTTACAAGATTCACTAACACATCAGAATAGAATGAAATGAGTTGTTTACTATTTATATAGATTGCTTAATGTGTTGATAAATGATTGGTAATTACTATGGGATGTATGTCACTGAACACATTGCACGGAGATTCTGTTACATTTTTATAACAATTTCATGTATTTCATTTCACTAATCGTATACTTATCAGTCCACATGGTTAATAATTTTTGTCTACTCTCCATGGTGTTGATTTTTTTCTGAACATGTTAATTAATCTAGGCACAAAGAGAATATGATTTAGCACGTAATATGCTTAAATGGAAACCTTGGGAACAGCTTATTGAAAAAGCTCCTAATGATCAATGGAAATGGCCAATTTAAAAATAAACTTGCTTAATTAATATTTTAGTATTATGACCAAGCACCAATAAATTGTAGATATTCATTTTTTCATTCAATACATATATTTAATTTTTAGTCTTATGATTTATTTTGTCTCAGTGCGATTCATGCACTAATATTAGTGGGTATAAATACAATTCAATTAACGTCTGATTACTTTATGCCTTAGTCTCTACTGTAAGTAGTAGTGGAGAATTTAAGGTGTTTATTGAACAACAACTGACTGACTGACTGACTGATGCAACGTGGAACTTCGTACGTAAGTACATCAGTTCATGTAGCCATCCATACCTTATTATCAGCACAGAGATATAATTGTCAATTCAAATCCAATGGTAGAAGAGGTAGTAGAGGTATTAGAAGTAATCGGAGAGGTTAGGATTAGAATATATTATTGAAGAAGTATGATTCAGTGAGAAAAGTTTAGAAAGTCGAAACTAGAGGTGTTGAAGAATCCAGAAGATTAGGGTTTGAGAGAACACAAACAATAAATGCACCGGCGCCGTTGCGAACGATTTTGAGCCATGTCATTCAAGGTCTCTAACCATCGATTATTAACATCTCGCGGACCCCAATCAGGTAGTCGAGAATTACCGACATGGCTGAGTCCACTAGTCAATGACTTCATGGATTTGTGCCATGTTTTGGTTTGGCCGCCCCTAACTTTCTTCCAACCTACTCCTACACTACAAAACAAAGCTCTTCTAGGCAGTCGGTGGTTAAGCGTACGCAACACATGTCCTAACCACCTCAACTGATGAAGTTTCAACACTTCATTAATTGATCTGCCATTCTTACCTAGCACCCGTTTCCTAATAACAGCGTTGCTCACTCGGGTGTCCCAGGATATACGAGCAATGCTTCGTAGACACCTACGATCGAAAACCAATAACCGACGAATATCTTCTACTCTCACTGGTCATGTTTCACAGCCATGAAGTAAGACGGAGCGAACTACTGTGCAGTACACTCGTCCTTCGGTCAGCAAACGGATATCTCGCCTACGCCATAAGTGACGCAGGTTGGCAAAAGCCAATCGAGCCTTCTGTACCCGTGCTGAGATTTTGTCAGTCACCAGGTCATCGGCACTGATGAGACTCCCCAGATAAGTGAAGCGGTCTGGGGATAAAATTATGAATCAAAATAGAATATTTCTAGACTGCAGCAAAATGTAATCAGACTAGAAACTGGCACTAGAAAATATCAAATGTTGAGTGAATAGATGGGGATTGTTTTTTGACTTGTAATACGCCGACTTGTGGCTTTCTTGATCAGTATTGTTGTAATACTACAGGGTAATTTGATGGCTATTTTTAAGCCATACTTATTTGCAAATTCATACAGAAGAGTGAAATTACTTAAATCAGTTTATTATTTACCAATGATTTTTCGAAGCATCAACATCTCGAATATTTCATGTAAAATTACATCAAAAATATTATTTCACTGTACGTGTTAGTAGTTATTCTGTTTTTTTTTGTAATGGTTGGTGATTAAGTCGAAATTGACTATGATTATCACTAAATACTAATTACGAATCTGTTGTCACTGAGACGAAGAAGAAGAGAAGACAGTGGAGCAAAGATGATGGCAGCAGCCACACAAACAATGAAACAATTGGTTATAATAATAATAATAACAATGACTGTTTCCAAATAAACCAATCGCATTCTCTGCCTAATGTATGATACATCACACTATATGTTGATGAAATTGATATGCTTTTCCACCTTAATATATACATGAGATTCCTACTATACAATTGTGTTAGGTTGATATTCGACTACTTAACAGTATACAAATAATCTTTGTATAGTATGATTAGTACCTTAAGAAGTTTGACTTCACTGTAGCACGTTTATCCAAATAAATAATTGATCAAAATCATTTTTCGTGTTTCGTTTTTTTTTGATAAGTTTTTACTCTTACATTATCAACAACATATATGTAGAAAATCACTCTACTACTATTGTAGAAACATGGTCTACGTATCACTTATAAATACCATATTTTGCTTGTGACAAACGAATGTTTTTCAGATGTTAGAATTCATATGTGTGGAAGTGACAATGAAAGACTAAAAGCAAACTACCATGGTAGAAATATTAGGAATTGGTCTAACGGTAAGAGCGTTCGCGCACAGTACTGAAGGTCCTGGGTTCGAATCCTGCGGGGTGCAGGAGTCGTGGATGCACACTGCTGAAGAGTCCCATACTAGGACGAAACGGCCGTCCAGTGCTTCCAGATTTCTAATGGTGGTCTCCACCATCTCAAAATGGTGGTCTAAAATTGATTGATTCATGGTTTCAAAAATGTGTAACTTAACAATCTTCAGGTTGATGATTCCGGTGGTTTCATTCTTCATGTTGCATAATTTGATTGCGAAGCTCAGTGAAAAGAAGTACCACATCCGACTAAAAATCTAGGACGCGTTCATTGTTCAGGTATTTTCCGTGATAATTCCAGATTATTGATTAAGTAATTGGCATTATCTACAAATCATTACATATCAAGTAAATCGAAGTACGGATAACATTAATCCGTCGTTGCAGATATCAACAATTTCAGATAAACGTTTTGAGAATATTGCTCGACCGTAGTAATAATAGTATATTCTAAAAATAATAATTACAGAACTCATGACGGTTTATAGGCATGGCCAGCCCAATATAGATAAAAATGTTTAATGTAGAGGATAGATATGTCATGTTACGTCCTTTAAAGTGTTTTTATTCGAAAATGGTTTAGACAACGTATTTTTTATATACCTTGCAGTAATGCAGTGCATTAGTCATGAACTATTAATTCTGTTGCTGTACGGACAATCTATTAAGCGTCGTTCCCAGTGTCATATCGGATCATTGAAAATCACCATCTAAAACGGAAACAGCGCGGAACTATGACAGCCATAATTGCAACGATAGGTCAGTCAGATCAATTACCAAAGCAAATCCGTACATATTAGGTACTGTTAAGCTGCAACTTCGATTGTGCATACCACTGGGTCACTTGACTGAGCTCCATGCGGATGCACTTTCTTGTATTGTTCTGCTGATGGAAGGAGAATGAATAACCTATCCTTATACCATTTACATATTAAACAGGGTTGTATGATCAGAAGCAACGGCATATATCGTCTATATAAGCCAAAGAAGCAAGGCACCTAACACTGAGAAGACTGAGGCAGGCGCGATAGATTGTAGTTAGCAAATTTACACTCTTAGTCAATTAAAAACGAAAACATTACACTGAACACTCTATTTGCACACCATCTTTGAGTCCTGACTTCCAACGCTCCAGCCTTCTTCCATTCCTGCTATTGATTCGTTTACTTTCTGTCAGTACTCCATTTACTTCTTGCTTTTTCTCCATTTGCTTTCCGTTTTCCTCTTGTGACCGTGAGAGTTTTTCTTCCATGTCCCTTCTTATACTACTTATATCGTTCGTATAAGTAGCACACACCACACTCGTCTCCGCTTTAACAAGTCGCTCTCTCAGTCTTTCTGATCACCGTACAGCCGTCTTCTTTATCAGTGTTTGTGGTTCGCGTTGATAATTTAGTTTAATACTAGACAATGAACAAAAAATAACTTTTGAATTAGGAGTCGCATGAAAGATTTTCGAAAGAGTGGTTAATGACGCTAGTTAACTTCAATGGAGCATAGACAGCGAGACGACTTTCTACAAAATATATTGTCATGCTGATCTCTGATTCTCCAGTAACTCAGGGGGAAAATAATCCTGAGTGCTGGAGCCTATCGTTGTAAGGTTTTTTCTTCAACCTTATCACCCATTCCATTGCTGATCTCTGCACTCGATCCAAGAGATTTATGTCTCACTCAATTAGAGACGCGCGTTACCCTCAACAAAGCATAGGCGGTCAGACGACTATCTGCATCCTACGTCGTAATGCTCACTTTCTTTGTTTTGAATGATGGTCAATGACCCTGTGACTCCCATCCTTTCGGTGCTTTTGGTGCTTGTTTGGACAGCAGCAGTGCATCCCTTTGTGTAGGTGAGGCGATTTTAATTTCGTGACCGGAGTATAACGGCACCTCTCCTGCAGCTAGTCTTGTTGTCTAACCTGCATGCAATGTGTTTTGCGGATTTCGAGTACCACCAGGTTGTATTTGTTCATTTAAGCAGCAACTTGAGTAATTTGTACGGTCTCTCAAATTGTTCAAACACTCTGTGTACGTTTATGAATTTGATATGTTCGTCACTAGGTATGCTTGAAGCTATTACGAGTTCACCTTAGTTGATAAACGCGAACGAGAAAATTACCAGCGTCCAGATAGGATAACTCGAATCCCAAGCTGAAGGCAGAAGGCTTTGTAAGCGTAGAAGGTATATTCTACAAACACCCAGCAATCAAAGTAAAATCAACACACAACTCTCGTTTATTTATACATCATTGAAACGTCCTTGGGACAGTTACGAAAATCCAATATCTTTTTCACGAGCTAGTGTAAACCAATTCGATTTCTTCGCGCTCGATTCTTGTTCTTTCAGTACGGTTCCAGATATTCGGTAATGTCCAATGAATGGAGGTCTAGCCAGTCTACTGTCTAGTTCTAGTCAGTTGGTTGTTGGTTGTGAGTTTGTATGTCTCGGGATTTGAATGAAAACGTTTGTTTCAGGGCAGTAGGGTTTCTGGATACTAGCAGCCGTCGCATTACCAGACCGGAGATCAGTTAGTTGCAATGTGGATAGTAGTAAGGATAATAATGATTAAATGCTTATGCTAATATGAATAAAATTTCAGAACTGAGTAATGTATAGATGAATTTAGTTTATTAATTGGTAGTGAAGATTATGAGAGAGGACCGGAGTGTAAGCAAGGGAGAGGAATAGGCGAGTTAAATTAATTAAGTGATCTGAGGAGATGGCGATGGTAACAACTAGCAGGTCTCAAGATATGCATCATGAACAGCCTGTCCAAGAGGGAGATGATAATCCGTATGTGAGTACGTGATTATCAAGTCTCTTCTTAAAGCAGTATACTGAGGGGGCTGTGGTCAACTCCGCTGGGATAGCATTCCAAGTTGCGACGACTCGCAATGAGAAAATGTGT